AGGAGGAGGAGCAGGAGGAGGAGGAGGAGGAGGAACAGGAGGAGGAGCAGGAGGAGGAGGAGCAGGAGGAGGAGGAACAGGAGGAGGAGGAGGAGCAGAAGGAGGAGGAGGAGGAGGAAGAGCAGCAGCTCCTCAAATCCTAAGTATGTGTTTACTAGTTTTATGGTCTGGGAAAATTATTTAACCTCTCTGTACGTCGTGTCTCCATCTATTGCTAAAATGGAAGTGATACCAATTCATTCCTGCAAAAGATGTTTTAAACATCATGTAGTGGAAAGTAAACAGTAAAAAGCAATAGCAACAAGAAAAAAAAATCTACCCTTCCTTCTTACTTCAAGTAGAGCTCATTTATTTTGGAAACAAGATCTCTACTTCAGAAAATGGTATCACAAAACCCAAATTCACAGTTAAAGCCCCGGTACCACCAGTGACCCCACACTGTTACACATGACACGCTACATTCCACACATAAACTATTTCCAGCAGCCTACTCTGGGCCTGCAACTAGTTAAACTATAACTAATGGAGCCAGTCAATTATCTTGGGGCTTATTTTATTCCCTTTCTCATAAAGAAGTTAATGTGACAGGATTTAACCGAAGTCAACAGTATGGACAGTTTCTTTAATGGATTTAATTTTTGGCAAGTGATGGCATACAAATGAACAAAAGCTGAATCATGATGATTTCATTTATTTGTTCTTTACATATCTGATTAATAGACAATCGTTGTGTTGATGGAAACAAGACTCTATTGTTATATACAGATTAGGAATGTAAACAGCATTTCCCATAACCACTGACTTCACAAATTATTCTGAATGTTATTTCAAGTAACACTGAATGCAAGAAATGGGTAGGTAAGCAAAGAACTCTACTGCCCCCTACTGAAATAAGACCAAAAAAAGCCCAGAAAACTGAAGTATCTATGGGAAAGGAAAATAACCGTACCTTGCAAAATGCAGCACACAAACACTGAGACCAGTGACTGAAAGGAATCAGAATATGCATCAAAGTGGTACAGAAAAGCTATAACCACCTAGCTGTGTGATAAAATTAGTAGCAAAACAGGAAAGCCTGGAGACAAAAATGCGCTGAGAGAAAGGATACCAGAGTCAAACAATGTTATCTAGCACGATAGCAAATTAAAACGTCACTGCAGGCTACTTTTCTTGTGTGTATGTTGGAAGCAAAAAAACAAAACGCACTTCTCAGAAACCATGCTCCTGAGTAAATTACGGCATTCTCAGTCCAACGGCTCTCCAGCAACACTGTCAAAACAGCCTCTCAACATCTGCACTGACTCTAATCCTCTCAGAAGTACTTCAAAGGGTGTTACTTTTTAAGACACGTACTTAAAACAATTTTACCTAAAGCTGTTTCAAACAAACATCCATTTCATGACAGGTCTGTGTGTACTTCATGGAACTTCTGCCTCATAAACTGAGCAGTCATAGTTGTTACCTACCTTGTAGCTAAAACACAAACAAACAAAACAACTCTCCCTTTGCCTCCACAACCTTCGTTCCTTCTTTTACCATCTCAACCCGTCAATAGTTTTTGAGTTCCCATTTCAGAGCAGAGTAAATCTTTAGGGGAAAGTATGTGAATTGTTATGCAACTTCTGTAAGAATTAACGTAAGAATTGACACCGAGCACTCAGATGAAGTAAGCAGGCGAAGGCGAGCAAAGGGAAGCAGAGCTGCTGCTGGGGAGGGTCCCTGAGGGAGCAGGTGCGGTAGTCTAGCTGGTAGTCTAGCCGGCCGCTTCTCTACAGGTAGTGCACTCGGCATGAGTGCTTTGTCCAGGCTCCATGATGTGTCTACGGGGAAGGAGATACAAGCAGCTGGAAACAAACCCACACAGGAAGGCGGAAGGCCGACAGGAAGTCTGCATACAAGATGAAAAGGACACGTCCTTCACATTCGGGTGCTGCTGCTCTTTGGTCTGTTAATAACAACAGTGCGCCGGCCAGGCAAGCGAATGTGCACTTGTCATCACCATTTAAAATTTCAACATGGCAGCACACAGACACATACTCGAGCACACATCCACAAGCAGCGCTGTCACATCTGTACTGGCTTCCGGAATAAGGCAACGCTAAAACATGGCTGTCTTACAGAAGCATTACTCATTTCCACGGTCTGAAAATACAATAAAGACGCATGGACACACTGTGCAGCTGGACAAAGAGCTGAAGGGGGCGGAGCCTCCCAGAGCCCAGCCCTGCCGACGTCATGGTGCTGAAGGCACATCCAGTGAATGGCTAAAATGCATACCTTCCACGCGCTGGCCTGCGCATCGCTTGACTACTCAGTTAACATTCAGTAGTTACAAGACTAAAACAGGAAAGGCAGAGTGCTACCTGGGGTATGCATGCATGTGTGTATGCATGAATGCATATGGATGTGTATGTGCATGCGTGTGTATCTATGGGTATGTGCAGGAGAATGTGACCATGTGCATGTATGTCTGTCCCTGTGTATGTGAGTGTATGTTCAACTCCATGTGGGAACGCATGCGTATGTATGCATGCATCTCCTATACCAGTGAATTCCGGGTCATTCTACAAAACCTAAGGAGTGTCCTCCTTGGCTGATAGGCAAAGGGGGTTTCCAAACCATCCTCTCCTTCCTAAATCCCCAGTACTGACAAGACCAACTTCTCCCCACCAAAAAGAGAGTACACAGAAAGGGGAAAGAGACAAGCACTAATTCCGTGAGGAAATAAAATTAGTAAGAAGCCTGGCCTAAAAAACATAATAAAATGATTTATTTATTGATAAATGTTGGCAGAGCCAGCACTTGACCCCAAGAGCAGGCACTAACTACCCATTTTCCACACACCGAGTATCGAACGTCACAAAAACCCTATGAGACGGGTATCCCTGCCATGTGACAAATGACGAACCCGAGACTTGGAAAGATTAAGTTCCACACCAGAGGTCTCCGCACTGCGAGACTGCAGGGCGCATGTATCTGTCAGTCTGTCTCTTAGCCACTACGTTTAGATTATCTTCTATGAAAATGAGGTGACTTTTTTGAAACACTGTACTAAACTAATCACTCTCACAGATAACAGGAAAACAAATTGCACATATAACAGGATACTCACGGGGCCAAGTTCTAAAATAAAAAAAAGAAAGCTAGAACTATCCAGGGTGCAGTAACTAACTGTGAACATGCCATGGGGAAGTGTCATTTCCACGCTCAACACCTGTTACAAGGGACCCTCGGCCATGGTGATCTCTTTCCTCAGATCCTGCCATTCCACCTCATTCTCAATTCTATTCTGTTCCTCTTTAAATGACACAGAAAGTCTCGTTCATGTAGAGGAAAGATCATTCTCCCTTTCTTCTTAAAAAGGTAATCAACTACAATGTAAAATATGATAGATCGTTCCTATTATGTCTGAAATAAGTATTTCTCTATATCCTATTCCACAGCAACTCTTGATCTTGCATGAGCACATCCATGTTACTGTAAAATTAATGATGGTTTGGAAACCACCAGGTGATGTTAAACTATTCTAAAATTCTATCTTGTACAAGCTAGGATTTAACCACCACACACACACACACACACACACACACACACGCACACACACCACAATCACTCTACACACAAAAAAAAACCTACTTCAGGCCACCATCACTTGCGGGTATTGATTGGAGCCCCTCTACTTTACGTATGCAGTTTAAAACACAGAAGACTTAAGAGCTGTCCATAAATATCTAAAACTGTAAAGTATCAATCTTGTGTACTTTCTGCCAAGTTTTCTCCTTGCAAAATGTAAGGGATATTATGAAGTGTTCTTGTAAGAAGGGTATCTTGCAAGATAAGCTACTTCTTCACCCAGATACCTACCAGTGATATTTAAAAGCCTGACATTAAAACGTGCCACAAATAAAGACCTGCTGATGTGCGCCTTCACGTGTGACACATCTGTGTTGGCATTTCAGAGGCAGAGGATGAAGACTGTTACCCACGGAGCGCATGACCTCGCCAACACCCAGGGCAGCGTCACTCACCTTCGAGTCTTCGCTGCTCACCCCCAGCTGCAGCACCGCTTGGGGAGATTTTAGTTTTGCTTGAGCAGAGTGAGCCATTTGAAGGTTAAGCTGCCATCCAACCGTCTCCAGCTGGAAAAGACAAGTGCAGATCGGAGTCAGATGGTACAGAGGGAAGAAAAGCGTCGACTTGAAGCAAATTTCTGCCCCGCAGGAATCACTGTGAATGGCCTCGACTTCGAGGACAGTCAGTTCCAGACCTCTCTTACTCCACACGCTCGGCGACTCTTCCCCTTGGATTCATTAGACTAGCCTCTGGCCATGCCTGTCAAATTCAGCAGCACATGTATTGTTCGAATATACTCCCTGCTACAAACAACAATTCTAAGCAGCAAAGTCTAGTCACTCGTTTTTATAAAATTTACCATGTTAATTTTTTTAATTAATAACCATTACTTTAAAATTAATACTTTTTTTGGGGGGGGTTTGGTCGTGGGGCCTGAACTCTGGGCCTGGGCGCTGTCCCTCAGCTCTTCAGCTCAAGGCTAGCGCTCTACCACTTGAGCCACAGCGCCACTTCCGGCTTTTTTCTTTTTGCTTGTGTGGTGCTGAGGAATCGAACCCAGGGCCTCATGCATGCAAGGCAAGCGCTCTACCACTGAGCCACCTTCCCAGCCCAGAAAATTATTTTTTAATGTCACAAATGAAAAACAAAAAAGAAACCAAGGGCAAAAGTTAAGAACTCCTAGCATTAAATGGAAAGAGAAACACAACTTACTGGAGAATCAGTGGGGTGCACAGAGCATGATTCTGGGAGGGAAGTTACACTTACACGTGCCCACATGAAAAAACCAGGCTGGCTTCCCAATGTGTAGCCACACAATGCAGCTCAGGCTCCGCTTTACTACAGACAGTGACTGGAAATAATCGATCTATCTATCCATCTATAAGAAGAGAGAGAGAGAATACGGAAGCCCACCAAAACTGAGCACTTACTTGTGTTTTATTGCAGGTAAGTTATGTTTCAAGAGGAAGTTAAAAAGATTGGTAACAAGTTAAAAGTCACAACCATTTAACTCAGCTAATTCAAGCACACAGAAAAACTATGACTTTGTGCTGAAGGCATGCCAGTACACAGACGCCCTTACTACATAATGTCCAAGTCATGCGGTATGTTTGGAGACTGACATGCATGAAGCCTGTCTGTCTGTCGGTCCTCTTTACAATAAAGCCACCCATTTCTCTGCAGAATTCCAAACAAAAGCCAGGCGCCGGTGGCTCACATCTGCAATCCTAGCTACTCAAGAGGCTGAGATCTGAGAACCACAGTTCAAAGCCAGCCTAGGCAAGAAAGCCCATGAGACTCTTATCTCCAAGGAACCACCAGAAAGCCAGAAGTGGAGCTGTAGCTCAGGTGGTAGAGCGCTCACCCTGAGCTGAAGAGCTGAGGGACAGCGTCCAGGCCCAGAGTTCAAACCACATGACTGACCGCTCCCTCCCCCCCCCAAAAAAAAAACAAATTCCAAACCAAAAAATGAAATTTTAAAAATTAAACAAAATAATAAAAGAATGTAATTTTTAAACTTTTAATTTCTTCTGCTCCACAGAAATGACAGGTCTTCAATAATGACTGAAGTGATCATTATACTTAACAGTACAGTAAAGCTTCACAATGGCTGAAAGGGGGTTTTTCCTACGGAAAACCCTTCTTGTGTTAAGAACCTTGAGCATCCAGCCTCCCAAGCTTCCCGAGAAGCTGCTGGAAAATAATGAAATCTCATTATATAAAGAAATGAGTTTCCACTATGAATAACTCATGTAATTGGTGAGGAACAGTAAGTTCCTCTCACAAGAGAACATCACACTGAACACATTCTGGACATTCAACACAGATTCAAGGGAAAGCTCCTAACAGACACGGTTTTTAAGAAGGGGGTGTGTATCCTTTAAACACAGAGCTACTCTAGTCAGATTCTGGTGGCTCCCACCTGTCATCCTAGCTGCTTGGGAGGCTGAGATCTGAGGATCACAGTCCAAAGCCAGGGCAGGCAGAAAAGGCCATGAGTCTCTTATCTCCAATTAACCACCAGGAAACTGGAAGTGGTGCTGTGGCTCAAAGTGATAGAACACTACCCTTGAGCTCAGGGACCACCCAGGCCCTGAGTTCAAGTCCCAAAACGAACCAAAAAAAAAAAAGACAGAAAGCTACTCTAGATGCACTCAAAATATGCCTTCTATGTATTACTTATAACCTTATTTTATATTGGCACATTTTCTAAAATATCTTTACACAGTTCAAGAACTGTGTAACAAAAGACCTCAGAAAAAAAGGTAAATTGGTATTAAAAATGTTTGAAATGTCAGTATTCCCTGTTAGCATAGTAGAAATACATGTAACAGACACTAACTACCATTTCAGGAATACAATTAAATACAGCATTCAATTTTTGTCTGGAAAGGATTGAAAGCTTCATAAATATTATAACCATAAAGACATTATAACCAAAGTCAAACAAAAAAAATGCTGTTTGAAGAACACTGCTGACAGTCAGCGGAACACTGATAAAAGAATATAAATTCTAATAGGTGGTGGTGACATTTTAGTTTCAAATCTCCAGAGAGATTAAGATAAAGTCTATTTTTTAAGGAAAAGGAGATAAAATTGAACAATCCTCTCAATCACATGCTTAAAAAAAAAAAAAGCTACCAAGGCTAGTCTTCAATCTGACTCTCCCAGTTATTAGATCTAAATAATAAAACACAGAAAGAGGTGTTTTCAATTCATCTTTGACAAGGATGCCACGCATATACAATGGGGGAAAAAATTTGGTCTCTTGAACAGTGCAGGAAAAACTATTTACATATCAAAGACGAAAACTGGATCCGTATCTTTACCCTACACAAAAGTTAACTTGAAACTCTTAAAGGTACAGCGTGAGCCCGTAAAACTGGAAAAGGAAGGGTAGAGAACAAAACCAGCAATGCCTCAGCAAAGCAACCAGACGCTCAGACAACCGAGCAAACGAAAGAATGGGGCTGCACAGGACAAAGAGCTCCTAAAAGCAAAGGGAAACTCAACAAAATGAAAAGGCAGCCTGCAAACCCTGAGACACAGCTACCAGCCACACGTGTGACGGGTGGTTAACATAAAAAAGATACAAAGGGGGGCTGGGAAGGTGGCTCAGTGGTAGAGCGCTTGCCTTGCATGCATGAGGCCCTGGGTTCGATTCCTCAGCACCACATAAGCAAAAAGAAAAAAAAAGCCGGAAGTGGTGCTGTGGCTCAAGTGGTAGAGCGCTAGCCTTGAGCTGAAGAGCTGAGGGACAGAGCCCAGGCCCAGAGTTCAGGCCCCACAACCGGACCAAAAAAAAGATACAAAGGATTCGTCACACAGTTGCAGACAAAAAAAATTAACTCAATTTTAATAATGAGTAGAGGCCCTCAACAGGCATTTTTCCCAAACTTAAGCATGGTGGCCAAGAGATGCAAAGGTGATCAGTCTCATTTGTCATCAGAAAAATGAATGTCAAAACCACAATGAAATCTTGTGTACATGGTACAGTCTAGTGTCAAGACCACAAGACAGAACTGGCACTGGTGGCTCACACCTGTCATCCTAGCCACTCAGGAGGCTGAGATCTGAGGATCGTGGTTCAAAGCCATCCAAGGCAGGAAAGTCTGTGAGACTCTTATCACCAATAAACTACCAAAACAGCCAGAAGTAGATCTGTGATTCAAATGGTAGAATACCAGCTTTGAACAGAAAAGTTAAGAGAGCATGAGGCCCCAAGTTCAAGCCCTCTGACTGGCACCAAAAAAAAGAAAAGAAAAGAAAAAAACAGAAAACTCTCGAGATATAATAACATACTGCCTATTTTTGGAAAGTATCTTTGGGATGGGAAGTCCTTACCTTGTGAGGAGCCAGACTCCTCTGCCGGAACTTTTCCACTGTCTCCTGACCGAGAGACGACCAGACACTGAGGAAGGCTTCGACTTTGTCCTGCGCCAGGCGGATGCTCTGTAACTGCTGCTGGAAGGCGGCCGGCTTCACGTGATGGTACACCGCCTGCAGAGAGACCCAAGACATCAGCACACAACTTCACGTGATGGCACACTGCCTGCAGAGAGACCCAAGACACCAGCACACAACCTCACGTGATGGTACACCGCCTGCAGAGAGACCCAAGACACCAGCACACAACCTCACGTGAACTGCCTGCAGAGAGACCCAAGACACCAGCACACAACCTCACGTGATGGTACACCGCCTGCAGAGAGACCCAAGACACCAGCACACAACCTCACGTGATGGTACACCGCCTGCAGAGAGACCCAAGACACCAGCACACAACCTCATGTGATGGTACACCGCCTGCAGAGAGACCCAAGACACCATCACACAACCTCACGTGATGGTACACCCCTGCAGAGAGACCCAAGACACCAGCACACAGCCTCACGTGATGGTACACCCCTGCAGAGAGACCCAAGACACCAGCACACAACCACCACACATTACTGAAGTGAGGACATTTGCTGTTCCGGTGGACATTCTCAGCCATTTTACAACCCACGACATACACAGCCAACGACTAAACGATACCACTACACCTGGGTACTGGGGGCTGGGCTGTCACCCTCACTACTCAGGAGGCTGAGATATGAGGACTGAGCTTCAAAGCCAGCCCTGGCAGAAAGGTCCATGAGATTCTTATCACCAATTAAGCACCCAAAAAAAAGCTAGAAGTGGAGTTATGGTTCAAGTGGTAGAGCACCGGACTTGAGTGAAAATTCTAAGGGACAGGTCCAGGCACTGAGTTCAAGCCCCAGTACGGCCACCATCGCAAGAGACTCTTAAAAGACCTAACTCACTCAAATTAAGCTTCTTCATTTTTGCCTGTGGTTTAAACCATGCCTAATTCAGTTAGTTACCAGAAACTGTTCTTCCTTGCTCTATGGAAATTACATGAACTAAAATTTCATTGATTTCATTTCATTATTCAAAGTTCATAGTGGTTTTGTTCTTCAACTAACGAATTCTTTTTTTGTTGCTGTTGTTGGTTGTGGGGCTTCAACTCTGGACTTGAACGCTGTCCCTCAGCTCTTCAGCTCAAGGCGAGCACTCTACCACTTGAGCTACAGCGCCACTTCCAATTTTCTGGTGGTTTATTGGGGATAAGAGTTTCATAGACTTTCCTGCCCGGGCTGGCTTTGAACCGCAATCCTCAGATCTCAGCCTCCTGAGTAGCTAGGATGACAGGCATGAGCCACTGGCACCCGTATTCAACTAACAAATTCTATAAAGTAAAACTTACCAATTTACCTTCGCTTACCAATGTCCTAAGTCATTCATTAAAAAAAAAAAAAAGTCAAAGCATTAACCAGGACACCTGCTCTGTCTCTCACCTTCTACAGCAGCTTCCAGGACACCTGCTCTGTCTCTCACCTTCTACAGCAGCTTCC